GCTTTGGAGCCTGTCCTGGAATTCGCTCTGTAGATCAGGCTGACCTCAAACTTACAGAAATCCGCCTGCCTCTGGGATTAAAGGCATGCGCCACCAATGCCCAGCAAGGCTGTTCTTGAATTTGTGATTATTCTGTATCTGTCTTAAGTGTGAATCATCATGCCTTGGTTTTTTTTTTAATATTTATTTATTTTATGTAAATGGTGCTCTATCTGCATGTATGCCTGCAGGCCAGAAGAGGGCATCAGATGCTACTATAGATGGTTGTTGTGAGCCACCATGTGCTTGCTGGGAATTGAACTCAGGACCTCTGGGAGAGCAGCCAGTGCTCTTAACCTCTGAGCTATCTCTTCAGCCCCTCTTTTTTGTTTGTCTTTGTTTTTGTTTTTGTTTTTGTTTTTAAAGACAAGGTCTCATGTTGTCTAGGCTGGCTTGGAACTCTTCATCCAGCCATTGGTTTTGGGGTTTTAAAAAAATGTATTCTTTATTACATTTATTGATTGATCATGTGTATGAATACCCATGCAAGGCATGTACAGAGATCAGGGACATCTTTTAGGATTTGGCTCTGTCCTTTCACCATGTGGGTCCTGGGATCAAACTTAGTTAAAGGTTTCTGTACTTCGATATTGGGTCTCATGTCCACTTCCAGGGACTAGGCACCCAGAGATTTCCTCCCCTAGAAGCGCAGAGACATTGGGTTTGACAGAAGACTGGAATTCTATTTTGAGAGGATGGAGTTTGGATATAAGTGGGGAGTAGTAGGGTTAGGGGTTCAGAAAGAGGGTGTGGCTCTTGCTGTCAGCTGCTGGGACCTGCTGACCCCTCTTGAACCAGTTGTTGGAGGAGGAAGAGTCTGCTCGGGGAAGTGGCTGGAGAAAGCTGGTTATGCTATGGACAGCCTTGTTGTGGGCCAAGTAGTGAACATAAATGAAAGATTTTCCATTCTATAGGGAGAAACACAGGGCTGCTATAGAGGCCTTACAGACATCTTGCTGTTTTCTTATTTTAAATTGGGAGAGATTAAAGTCATTTGGAATTTGGGAGGAAGACTGGAGAAGAAGAGGTTGTGAGTACAAGAGATGGCTTGGAGTCTGGGGCTCTTCTGTTGGAAGGAGGGACTCTTCCATTGTGAAAGGCAACAGAAGCTGGCTTGGGGGACTCGAGGGGAAACTTGGAGGCTGTAAATGAGAGATGCTGGACCACAGCTCCCTCTTTTCTCTGAAACATGGCTTGGGGCTCCTTGATCAGGGACAGAATGGGTCATTTGACATCACTGAGGACAGAGGGCAGGAGCACAGGAAACAGGGTTGCAGAGCGGGGTGCGGTCTGGATGAAGGTGGAGACCAGGAGTTTGTTGGACTCTAGAAGTTTAGGCAGGAGTGGTGGAAAAGCTGTGGGGAGTAGGAGCAGTAACAGGTTGGAGGACTAGTGGCATTGGGGAAGGAGGGAAGAAGGAAGCACCTGGAATTGTCAGTGTGCTAGGGAAGAAAAAATCTCTAGGCCTAGAAGACTCCAAAAGCTCTCTTCTTAGTCCATTTGGGCAATTATGACAAAAACACCATAGACCAGGCTACTGGTGAGCTGTAGAAATGTAATTTTATTTGTTTACTTTCCCCAGGGGTCTTCCTTCTCTCCTCTTCCCTCTTTTACTTCCTTTCGGGGTGGTGGTGGTGGTTTCAAGACAGGGTTTCTCTGTAGCTTTGGAGACTGTCCTGGAACTAGCTCTTGTAGACCAGGCTGATCTCGAACTCACAGAGATCCACCTGCCTCTGCTTCCCTAGTGTTGGGATTAAAGGCCTGTGCCACCACTGCCTGGCTTTTTTCTTTCTATATATTTATTTATTTGTGTATGTGAAAGATATGTGTTTGTATCTGTGTCTTCCTTGATTTCTTTCCACCTTTTATTTATTTGGTTTTTTGAGACAGTTTCTCTATGTATCTCTGGCTGTCCTGGAACTCCCTCTGTAGACCAGGCTGTCCTCAAACTCACAGGGTTCCTTTTGTCTCTGCCTCCTACATGCTGGGATTAAAGGCACACATGGCTATTTTTTTTAATTTGTGTGTGTGTGTGTGTGTGTGTGTGTGTGTGTGTGTAGGTTCATGTGTACATGTGTACATGCATGCCACAGTGCTCTGGGTAGCCAGAGGCAGGAGGACTCTGATTTCTAAGACATCCTGCAACTACATAGTAAGACCAGCTTGGGTCATGCATGGTTGCTGTGTGTCTATAATCCTGACACTCAGGCTTGTCTCAGGAAAACAAACAGAACATGGGGGGTTGGGAGGTGGCTCAGTTGGTAAAGTGCCCGCCACACCATCTTAATTCCATAAGGCCATCAGATTCCCAGAACTCAAGTAAAAATTTGGCACAGGGGCACCAGTCTGTAACCCAGATCTGGGGGGTTTAGGAGGATCTCTGAAGACCTGAATTTTGCTGAGCTCCAGGTTCAATAAGATACTAATCTCAAAAATGATTGGTTCAGTGGGTAAAAACTTGCCATGCAAACATGAGAACCTGAGTTCAGATCCCTAGAATCCATTTAAAGTTGGACACCCATTTGTAGTCCCAGAGCTACAGGGATATGGGAGGCAGAGACAAGAGGACCCCAGAAGTCCCTGGGCCAGCTAGCCCGGTAACTGACTCTTGAGGTTGTCTTCTAGCACTGAGAGCCCCCATTCCTGTGTTGTTTGTTTTCTTGAGACAAGCCTGAGTGTCAGGACTATGGACTGTGGCACCATGCCTGACCCAAGCTGGTCTTGCTACGTAGTTGCAGGATGCCTAGAACTCAAGGTCCTACTGCCCCTGACTACCCAGTTCTAAGATGCAGGTATGTGTGCTCTACTGTGCCTAGCTCAAGAAAGTTTTTGCTCACAATTTTGGAGACAGAGAAATCTAAGAACAAAGTCTAGAAGATCTGGTGTCTGATGAGGGCCTGTTCCTCTAGTTTGAGGACCTCTCTCAGGTCTTCTTTATTTTTGCCAAATATAAATAGCCATGCAGTGGTGGCACATGTCTTTTCTTTAATCCCAGTACTTAGGAGGCAGAGAGAGGTGGATCTCTTGAGTTTGAGGCCAGAGATTTACAGAGCAAGTTCCTGGACAGCCAGGACTACACAGAGAAACCCTATCTCAAACAAACCAGAAAATTCGTTCATGTGTTTGGCAATTTTGCCTGCTGGTATGCATATGCACTATATAAGTGTCTGGTTCCTGCAGAGGCCAGAAGAGGGATACCCTGGAGCTGGAGTTATAGATGATTGTGAACTTCCATGTAGATGCTGGGAATTAAATCCAGGTTCTCTGCAAGAACAGCCAGTGCTTTTAACTGCTGAGCCATTTCTTCAGCCCCACCTTTTTGTTGCTGTTTTATTTGTTTTGCAAGACAGGTTTCTCTGTGTAATCCTGGCTTTTCTGGAACTCGCTCTGTAGACCAGTAGACCAGGCTGGCTTGGAACTCACAGAGATCCACCTGCCTCTGCCTACGGAGTGCTGGGATTAAAGGCATGTGCCGCCACCACCTGGCTTCTTCTTCTTCTTCTTTTTTGAACAATGATCTTTTTTTAAAGAGTTTATTTACTTATTATGTATACAACATTCTACTTCCGTGTATATCTGCACACCAGAAGAGGGCACCAGATCTCATAAGGGATGGCTGTGAACCACCATGGGGTTGCTGGGAATTGAACTCAGGACCTCTGGAAGAGCAGTCGGTGCTCTTAACCTCTGAGCCATCCCTCCCGCCCCTCTTCTTCTTTTAAGTTATTAATTATTTTACTTTTTTTTTAAAATGTGCATGGTTGTTTTGCCTTCGTGTAAGTCTGTGCACTGTGTGCATGCCTAGTGCCTGAGGAAACCAGAAGGCTTTGGATCCCCTGGAGCTGGAATTACAGACAGTTGTTAGCTGCCATACGGGTGCTGGGAATTGGTCCTTGGTTAAGAGCAGTCAGTGCTTTTAAGCCCTGAGCCACTTGGCACCAGTCACTCCTCTCTTAGCCCCATGGCATTGTTGATTAGGTTTCAGCTTTTGACTGTTGGCGGGCACACTCTGACCACAGCACCCCTATCACTAATACACTGGACAGAGACTCTACATATGTAGGATGGGGACAGTTTTAGGGAGAACCCTCATTTGGGGACTGGGAATGCCTTGGCCAGAGGCTGACAAGCAAGAGGGAGGACTCTGGCTTCCTTCCTTTCAGGATGTTTCCATGGGCCCTTCCCATTGCAGGACCTTTGGTTGAAAATAGCCAAACAGGAAGCTGAGACCAAAGCTAGGCTAGAGATCTGACTCCAGTGTTCAGTTCCCAGGATGCTGCTCATCACCAGGTAAACCCTTTCTTTATCCTGTCAGTAGAGGGCGTGAGCCCCAGCCTAGTGTGCACCTTCCCTTCCCTAATGTCCATAGAAGGCTGAAGGAGACACTTGGGAAGCAGACCATTCAAACGGAGGGAAGGTGCTCTTCTAACCTAGCCCAGGCTGCATGCAGAGAGCGAGACACGGAGAGCCTCAAAATGCATTCACTCTCAAGGACCCCTAGCAAACCCTCATGTTAGGCGTCATTAATTAGGTTTTACCTGTGAGCATCAGGAGACTCAGGGAAAGGGACTGTCTTAGGCTGGTGACAGATACCCAGCTGGAACTTCTGAAGCTCCTATATCCCCACCCCACCCCAAGAAAGGTTGGAGATTCCCTTTCACCCCAACAGGGTCCTAATACTCGCTCTATCACAGAGGAGGCGATATCTCCTATTTTGGAGGGGGGCTGGGTCACCATCAGAGGTTCTGTGGTGGTCTTCAAGTCCTACACTCAGTCTGAGTGGGCTCTGCTTTCTTTAAGGGCCGGATCTTGGAAGATGATGAGAGGACACGTACTGCGCCTTAATCAGCGGCACCCGGTCCCCGCCCCCGCTGGCTTGCTCTCCAGCCTGTCGCGTCATCTGGAGGGTATGTGGACTTCCCACATGGGGCCACCAGAGGGCGCCGCAGACGGAGCAGGGGTCGGGAGCCGGGACTCCCAGCCAAGCCGGCAGCCTCGCGGGTCTACCGCTGAGGGTCAGGGAGTCGGGATTCCCGGGTGCCCGAATTCTAGGAGTGAGATGAACGTTCAGAGTGCGAGCGGTCCACCATTGGCCCCGTATCCTCCCTTCCTGGCCGTTGCCTTTTGAGGTCCACACAGAGAGGGCAGCCCGGGGACGCGTCTGGAGCAGGTGTCTGACCATGGACATCTAGGACCCGGGCTGAGAAGAGGGCAGCGGAGCGTGCGGGCACCCGCAAGGGTCGCAGGGGCCCCATTGCTGTAGCCACGCCCCTCAGAGACCCCGCCTCCATGCCCCGCCCGTCCCGCCCCCTCCCTGCCGGGGTGGGAGACCGGGGGGCCCCCACAGCCGTGAGTCCCGCCATGAATGTTGCCTCGCTCCTACTTCTGCTGCTCCTGGTGGGCCGCCGGCTCCAGGCTGCGGTTGTCACGGAGTCAACGCTGCCCACTGTGGTCCTTGCTATCCTGGCCCGCAATGCGGAACACTCTCTGCCCCACTACCTGGGCGCACTGGAGCGCCTGGACTACCCCCGGGCCAGGCTGGCCCTCTGGTGAGAGATCATGGGTGGGCACATCTGGGCATCACACCCCAGGATCCAGGACAGCCTCTGACCCGGAGGCTTCATCGCTCCTGTTCAGACACCACCGGGCAAGCTCCTCCCTCCCAGACATGCACTTAGGGCCTCAAGCCCTTCAGCAGGGTCCCTAACCCTCTAGGGGCAAGGGCAGACCTCTGAGGCCTTGGGTCAGCCCAAGGACACCCACTCCTCCTTCGGGCCTCCTAGTTTTCGGGCTCATCCCCGGCTTACTCTAGTTTAAGTTAGGCCTGTCCTTTCCTACCCAGCCCTTAGAGCTCACAGCGCATCTCAGTGGTCAGCTTGATTTGGAGTATAACAGGAGTAGAAAACTCTGGAATCCCCAGGGACCTAATGTAGCAAGGATCAGTCAGACTGGAGGTTTCTAGGGAGCAGATGGAGGGAACCCTCAGCTCCAGGCTGCATGCTGGGCAGGGGCATCAGGCTGAGTCCCCTCCTCAGTAGTACTGCCAGCCTCTCCCGGTAGAGGGGCTGGTAGGTTCCATCCCCAAGGTCTGTGGCCTGGGCTCCCAGGCTACAGCAGCCTGTCTATAAAAGTCTAAACAGGGAGGAGCCCAAGCTGAGGCTGGAGATAAACTGCTCCTCTCAGCACACCAAAGTTGGGCTTGGGGTGGAGCTGTGGCCTGGGGAGGCTGCCCACAGTCTCAACAGCTTGGGAATTAGTTCCCACCCTTGTAGGACTTGACACGTAGTTAGTCTTCACTTCTGAGGAATTGGCTTAAAGGGGCAGCATCGTCCGAAACCTGGCTCTTGGCTGAGATTCCCAGCTCTTTTATAAGAACCCCTTCCCCAGCAGAGAGAAAATTGTGCTCCATGGTAACAGGTCTGGCCTCCAGCACTTCTCAGTGTGCTCAGAGCATGGTATAGAGTCCCAGTTACAGTTCAGGATAGAGAAAGGCGGTGACTCTTTTGTCTGATTCAGAGATGGAAAGGGCCTGGCTTGTGGTGCCATGAAGACGGAAGAAAATGAGGGGCATAGCAGGTGCAATCCTTAAGGTCAAGTGCGTCTTTCACAGTGCACTCAGGCTGAGGATGTGGCTCGGTGGTCAAGGGCTTGCTTGGCATGTACAAGTCTCTAGGTCCAATCCCCCAGGACAATGCCCCAAATTAGAAGGGAGGATGTGAAGCACAGCACATCCTCCAGCACCTCCACTGTAGGAATACCTCTCCCCCATTGCTCTCAGGACAGACCAGACTTGAGGGTGTCCAAGGGCACTTCAAAGTCAAGTGCACCTTGGGGTTCCAGCCCCTCTGTGGCTGTGGTCTCTCAGTTTTTATATCATGTGCTCACAGGTGTGCCACAGATCACAACGTGGACAACACCACAGAGATGCTACAGGAGTGGCTGGCTGCTGTGGGCCGTGACTATGCAGCTGTGGTCTGGAAGCCCGAGGAGGAGGCCAGGTGTTAACCTGAGGGCAAGGGTGTTGGAAGAGATGGAGAACAGCTGTTACCCAGTGTCACAGCCCCCAGAGCAGGGCTGTGTCCACAGCCCTGCTGAGAAGGAGAGGTTCCTCCCTTAGAAGAACATCTAACTTCCTTCCCTCCTCAGGCCCTACCCAGATGAACAGAGTCCCAAACACTGGACCAAAGAAAGGCATCAGTTTTTAATGGAGCTGAAGCAGGAAGCTCTGACCTTTGCCAGGGCCTGGGGAGCCGATTACATCCTGGTAAGGAAGCCTGGTCTGGGATTACGTGGGAGGCATTGGTATTGGTCCCCAAAAGAAGTCTTGGTTATGACCAAACCACCAGGCTGCATCTTTTTAGATTGAGCTGAGACCCTGTATTGGCTCCTTGCATACTAGATACTAAGCCTGGATCCTAGGACAATTCTGAGGTTACATGTTGTGCCTAGATTCCTGAGCTTTTGTTTAGAGTATAAACTAAGCCTGGATCACAGGACTGGAGTGCAGAGTATGTTTTTTAAATATTTATTTATTTGGTTTTTCAAGACAAGGTTTCTCTGTGTAACCCTGGCTGTCCTGGAACTCATTCTGTGGCTGGTCTTCAGAGATCCACTTGCCTCCACCTCCCAAGTGCTGGGATTAAAGCTGTGTGCCACCACTACCCTGGGCTCATTTTTGTTTTATGAAAGTGGGCGTTTGGCCTGCAAGCATGTCTGTGCATCACATGCATGCAGTGCTCACAGAGGCCAGAAGAAGACCTCAGATCCCCTGGAAATGGAGCTACACTCAGTAATGAGCCACCATATGGTTGATGGGTTTCAAACTCAGGTCCTCTGGAAGATCCAGTAGTGCATCTAACCACTGAGCTATCTCTTCAGTGCCCTCAGTGTTATTCTTTTGTTTAAATTAGAAATAAAGAAGAAAAGAGGCGGATGAGACATAAGACTGAGAGACATATTAGACATATTAAGCAGTTTATTTTAGGCCTGGCAGAGTAAAGAGACTAAGAGAGAAGAGAAACAGGGGTAATGGCTGACCGCCATGGCCGGTCACCATAGAGAGGCAGAGAGAGTGTAGGTGGGGGAAGAGAAGAGCAGAGAGAAGAGTAGAGAGAGAATAAAGAGAGAGCGTAAATGGGCAGGGATCTGTCTTTTAAAGGGGTCCTCTGCACCTGTGTGCAGAATTAGTTCCCATGGAACCCTGGGCTGACCAGGGTACTGCCTGTTCCACCAGGTAACAGGGGCAGGCCAGCATAATGCCTGAACCTTTCAATCCTACCTTTACTTATTATTTTAAGAAGGTGGGGTGTTGGACATGGCAGAATAAGGAATAAGGGCGTTGAATTCTCAAGACTGCCTCCTGCTGCCCTGGGGGCGTTGACCATCTTTGGGGGACCTGAGAAGGTTGGGGTGCTGCCACGTCCTGGGGAAGCTGGTTGTTTCATCACAGTCCAGTGAGAAGGTTGGGGTGCTGCCACGTCCTGGGGAAGCTGGTTGTTTCATCGCAGTCCAGGCTGTATGGAACTTCTTAGACCTGGCAAGATGTTGGCAGAGTAGAGGACAAGGTTAAGTTTAGAAAACAATTTGTTTCTTAGGTCCTGTCACTTGAGGGGAAGATTGTAAGATGAAGTAGGGGTTCCCGAGGAGTCCCAACATGAGGGAAGGGAGTCCTGGGACCAGGGAAGGATTGAATAACTGGAGTGAATCTGACCTGTTTGTCTGGATCCAATTCAGCTCCCTGGAA